CAAAGTCCGGCGATCCACCATCCGAAACCATTCCGCCTCGCCCGCCGTCCTTGGGTGGGAGGGGCAGTAGGTGTGCATCGTCCCCGAGCTCGAAAGGGCGGATCTCCGAGACAGCGGCCAACCATCTCCAAATATAGGCATAGAAAGGGCTCCTTTGTTTTTCCCTCCCCCCGCGCGCCGGGTCACCTGGGCGCCGCTCTGTGGAACCCACACCCACGGGGTTTCCGTGCGCGGCAGCTCCAGCCCGGCCCTGCTCTGCCCGAAACGAATGACGCGGACGCCTCGACGGAGGGAGGCGGCCCGCGCTGACGAACAGATTCCGACAAACGGTGCAAAGAGGCGACGTTTTGCTTCGGGCGAGGGATGATTGTGTAGCGAAGGTTGGGAAACGGGGGAGGCAGGAAGCGTTTTCATTCATTCCGATCGCAGGAAGCGAAAGGCCTTCGTTGGCCCGGCTTTTGGCACGTGCGAAGAATTTTCTGACGGATCGAGGATCAAAAACCGAGAGCAGAGAAGGGGGGCCTTGCCTGCTAACTCGAGCCTTTTGAAAACCGCTGATGGGGGACGGGAAGGTCGAAAGAGGGGAAAACGCACGTCAAAGCGGACGGCATTGAGTGAAATGAACCCTTGATTTGCAATTAACGGGGAAGGCAGCTGGCTACGATTAAATTCACAGCCAAGTACCTGCATGAAAGCGCCCCTGAAATGCTTACGCCTTTCAAAAGAAACTCGCATCCTGGTAGCCAGCCTCGCCCTGCCGTGTGTCATATGTTCAAGGCAGGAAAGTGCCCCCCCCCCTCCTCCTCCGCCTGTTTTCGCCGCCCCCCCGCCCCCCCCCCCCCTTCAAACCCAGCCCTCCGCGGCAAGCGCTCTCCGCTGCTCCTCTCTCCTTCCCCCTCCCTACTTTGCTGCATTTGAGTAATGTGACGGAGATCTATGCCTCTCGTATCGCTCCCAGTATCACTTCTAAGGTTTGTCGGTCTCGGCGAGAGCCGATCGCCTTTATCCCGTCACACTGCCTGGGCTCTGTCGAAAACCAGCAAAGTCTTCTCAAAAGGCACCGTCCGGGGAGCAGCGATGCTTAGCAAGCGGGGTGCATGCAAGCTAACGCTGACCGCTGCCGGGGATGCTGTTGCACACAGATGCAGGGCCCTGGCTAACCCTGCTTCTGCCCCCGCAACCCCACCCCGATGCCTTTTGGGTGGGGCACCGCCATGGCGAACGGGAACCATTTCTCTTGGTTGGCCGCAGCTCCGAGGGACGCGGCAGCGATGTGTCTCAGGAGCGCAATCTTGGCTCCTCCAGAGGAGACACGCCCTCTCTTTCAGCACAAAAGAATCCGAGAGGAATGCAAATGACCGGAGGGGAAACCTTATGCTTTCCAGAGGGCCGTTGCGGGAAATAACCGGGCCTTCCGCTCTCAAGCTTGGAGCCCCTTAACGTGCCTGGCTTATTAAATCGGAGCAGCTTTGAGAGCTGGGTTCCCGACTAGTCTTAGGCCTTTTTCTGGAGGGTTCAAAGGTGTGTTTTGACAAGCCGGTGTGGGCTACCTTTTTGCCTTCCTATAGTATAATTGTGTGACTGACCATCTGCCAAAGCATCAATTGTTGTAAAGCATAACTGGAGAAAGGAAAGGCCAAAATGGAGGAGAGAAACAGGTGAAATGTTGATGAGAGGTATGAAAAAAGAGTCTCAATACACTTTGGAGCAGAGATGCCACATTGGATTTGTGAATAATAAATTTAATTTAAGCGGCCAGAAAATAGTAAAAATAAACAGGCCAACAATCGGTGCCTCATCTGAACTTCACTCATAAAGATATAATGCTACCCACAAACAAATCCCTTGCAGGATTCTTAAATTCTTTGGTCTCTTTCAAAACTGTTAGTGATATAATTCTTCCCCTCTGAAGATAGTTCCATAAATGTCATAGAAAATGTCAGCAAAACCACACAAAATGCCACTTAAGTGGAAGTTTTGCATTCTCAAGAATTCAGAGCATTTTTCCCCCTCTAAACTTTAAAAGCACGTGACTATCCAAGTCCTTAAACATTCAATTTCTAATTTGAATAATTCAAATGCTGAGTAAGGAATGACTGAATGAACCAGAGCTGAGTGGTGGTGTTTCTAGTTTAGCATTCTCTCCAGGGCTCCTGGAATTGATATATCCTGAACAATAAACCCGTATAAGGAAACAAACCTAAATACAAGCATGTTGGCTCTACTGGGCGGAGCCAAGTTGCTTTAACTACTGATCAGCAATAATGGGGATTTCTCCATCTCTTCATATATTTCAGTTCAATTCTCAGCTGTGAATCTATGGAATCTTAACTTTTTGAAATCTTGTGAATATACATTAGGAGTTGAGCAATAGAAACCAACACAATTATTACAGTATTTCCTCCTTATGATGAATCTGATTTCTATGATTCAGTGATTGGTTTTATTTGGAGGGGAGGGGAGAATGTTGGAATTCAGCTATCACTTGAATTGATAAAGACCTTCCCAATTTAGGAAAACTAAGTAAGTTATGATTTTTATGGGAAGGACAACCTTAGTCATCTGCTTATAGGTGAGGTCTAGGTTATTTTTCTAGGTGTGTACATAGAACAGGGATGGGCAGAGACTACTGGTTTTACCTATGTTTGGCAGGTTACGTTTGCAAGCAACACTGCAGCTTATGTGGGTTAGAAAAAGCATTTTGTCTCCAGTGCATTATGGCCCATTCTCAGTTAAGTAGTATGGATAAAAGAAAACAAATAATTGGAATTTTTTTAATAGTGTATCTTTCTCACCTCACATATACATTTTCTTTCACACAGATGAAACGATGGTGAAGTATATTGCATTTCTAAGGCTTTGACAGTATTAGGCAGAATTCAGCAGGACAAAATACATTGATAATGTAAAAATTCTAAATTCTGAAGTCATAGCCAAGGGAACAGCAATGCTTTTCTTTGGCAGACTATCCGCTTACTAATATGTCATGTAAATAGAGTATGTATGGGATCACAAGAACCTCTTGTTCATTATGATTGTGTCTTCTAAGCTACCTTGAATTTGCTTTATCTCAATATTTTAAAATAATTAAGTGTGCTTCCTGAAAAGATAGTTCCAAAGACATTGGATTTTGTTTGAATTTGAACAATAAATTCTGTAATTACATCTACAGCCTTTTATTTAATCCTTCGAAACAAAGGTGAAAACTTGTTTTTTGTGTTGTTCAGATCCTGCAGTGTTATGAACCAAAGTTTGCTTACTTTTTTCTTTTATACATATATTTATTCATTGTTCCTCCTACAATCATATCTTTAAACAGTTTATAATTAAGTAAAATAAAAAAATGTTAATATCTTTAAATAGTTTGGGGAAAAGAAACAAAACATTCAAATTGATCTAGGGAAGGCCTAGGTAAAGAGATAGTAAGTACTCCAACTGTTATCTAAAAGATGTAATAGTAGGTACCTCATAATTTGAGGGGGAAAAGCATTCCAGAATGCAGGCAACACAACAGGGAAAACCCACCCATGAAAACCCACTGCATAATGTGGTCTGCCAATCTTACACACAGAGGACACAACCAGCTTTTAATATACCTAAAGATACTTAGACACTGGCCTTACTTGCATATGGCATAAACCAGGATTCTTGGGTAAAATATCCTCTATATCCAATTTACAGGTCTAAACTCTTAAATGTTGGATATTAACCATTTATGTCATGCACAATCTTTTCCCATTTTTTCACCACCTGGCAGATACAAGTTTCCTGTTTCATATGTTTTGCTTTGTAATCACTTTAGGGTCTATTCAGTATGTCTTATTATTTCTTTTGCCTGGAGAAAATAATTTCTTTGGCATCTTTGTGTTCCTTGAAGGTTCCTCTCCTATATTTCCTAAATAATTATTAAAACATAATAATTCTGAATATTAGCGCATAACTGTTTGAACAGAAAAAACACTGCTGTGACCATAGGTACAAGAATCTTGCTGCCCTCATTGATGTAAGTCATCTAGTAAGGCAGTCTTCCCCAACTTGATGATCAAGATTTAAGCTACAGTTTCTATCATCTCCAAGAGCATGGTGTTTGACTGTATCACTGAGAGATCATGGGAATTATAATCCAGTACAAATGGAGGACCCCACATTATGGAAAACAGTAAAATGGGTTATTCGCTAGTGTGAATGCAGTGTGTGAAGTATTGTACCTCAAATTTGGCAATAGGTGGGCCAAGGCCATTTCAACCAATGAAGCAGCAGCTTTTTTTTAACACAGGAGTGGGCCCAGAGAAAAATGGCATTGCATAAAAAAAGGACAAAGGTCTTGTCCTTGATGGTTGTGAAACAAATGCAGTGGCAGTTATTTTTTGGCATTTAGAGGACTTAATAGTAATTTTTCTACTGATAGTTCCTTGGCTAGATTAAAAATCTCCCTGCTTTGAGTCTCAGGCGTTGAACTGCTCCACTAAAAGCAAGCTACAAAACCAACTGCCACATCAGTACTTACTTCTCCTTCATGATAGCCCAGAACTATATTCCAAAAGCAAGCACCTCAAATTAAGATTCATGTGTGATCTTGGTTCCCCTGCAGATACCCTGCATTTGTGTGTTTTTCCGTGTGTTTAATGTATCTGCTGGCACTGCAGTTCCCTCATTGTGTGTGGCCAGTAGCCAGGCCACAGGAAGCCTCAGGACCCCAAATGCAATAATATAGATAGGCGTTTGGCAAACTGGTACACTCCAGATGTTGTATACGCCCATCACCTCCAGAAAGCGGGGTCGGGGCAAAGGATAGTGGGAAATCAAACTAGAAACATCTGGGGGGCACCACGCTACCTACCCCTGAAGTACTGAACCTCCGGGTACCCCAATATACCCCCCTTAACAAGCTCGAGAATGATTCAGTGACTCCTGAACGTCCGTTTCCATCCTAGGCACAAAGCTGACTTTCTCTATTGGGGTGCCCCTGCCCCGAACCCCTTTGGCGCCGCCTTCCTCACCTGCAAATGGAGCCCAACAAGGGGCTGCGGCGATGGAGGGTCTCCTGCAAAGAGGAGCGCCCCTCCCCCCCCCACTCTTCCCGCGGCTCATCCAGATTCCGGGGTTCAGAGGGGCGTTGCCAAACCGCCTTCGTCTGCCCCACGTGGCCCGGGCCCCACCAGCCAATGGGAACTCGCACTTCTGAAAGATCTCCATATATGGCGATGTTCTCAGCCGGCGCGAGGGGGCCGGCTCCCCCTGGGTATAAAAGGGGCGGGCTGGCGTTGGAACGGTCTCACTCAGCCGGCGGCAGCGGATCTAGCAGCAGCAGCTCGACTCTTTTTATTTTTTTCCCTTCTGAAACTTCCTGCCGTTTTAACAGGTAGGTGTGATCATCTGGCTGCCATCCTCGGGGACCTTCGGCGTCGGACTTGCTTTTTTTCCAAACTTTTAAATCGCTGGGGAGGAAGGAAGCGCAATTTATTGATTATAAAACGACCTTGGATACAGATCGGGTTGCCGTGGCGGAGAGCCGTTAAAAGGCTCCGCGTGCCGGTTGCTTGCGGCGGGGGGGGGGGGGGAGGCGGCAGAAACGTTTCTTTGGGGGGACTCGGCGCGAGCAACCGGTTCGTGGGCGTAACGGTTCCCTGAATGGGGTGAGCGGGAGGGGGCGGAGTTGTTTGCCTGGTAACAGCCGCTCGGATGCGGTTGGCTGGTTTTGCTCGTTGACGTCATCAGGCGGGAAGTGAGGTGGGGAGGGGGAAAAACCTTTTCTGCAAAGAATAACGTGGAGCGAGAGAAGCGAGGTGGCTAGTTTTTTGAGGGAGGACTTGTGAGAAAACAGTGCTAGGAAAAATGAGGCGTCTTCATTAGGGAGATCAAAGAAGGGCGGTGGTAGGTGGTTTTGGGAAGGCGGGGTTAGGGTTTGAATGGCGTTCCTGAAGAAGCTGGGCGTATTGTGTCTCTCTTGGTCAGCATTAAATTGCACACGCCGGGCTGATAAATCTCCCTACCTGTAGGAAGCAATGCACGACAAGTTTTAAATATTTATTTTTTTAATTTAGCAGAAGATAGGATAATGTGAAATTGGATGGTCTTGATTAAGGTGTTAAGGTGTAAGCTAGGAATTGGGTTTCCTGGGAGCCATGTCAGCGCTGAAGGTGGCTTGTTTTTCAGATATAGGATGCCCTAATGGCATATCTTGTGGAATCCTAAGTAGGGAGCAATGGTATAATGGAAGCTTTTCACAGTATGGATGTCAAGTAAATTTAGGGAAGGGGAAAGAGGGGGCAGCCTTTTGTGTGGGAGCAGAAAGCTGCCTCGGTGTACGCACTGGATTGGTGTTGGGGAGTACTTAATTCAAAACTTTGGAAGAGTTGTTCTGTAGTAGATTAAAACAGTCTTCTGCCTGCTGAAAAAACACTTCCTATTGAAGCCTGTATGATACAAATAGATAAGCATAGGGGGACTGTGGTGCTTTTTGGTGTGGCCTTGCTCAGCAGAGAGAGTTGGGACTTGGCTGATTCTGCAGTGCAAGTTAAATGAAGTAAAGTGTTAAGCCATGGTGAAACTCGTAAGTGGGTGGGGTTCCAGACACAAAGGCATTCAGAGCAGCCTCTAGTGGTAAAAAAGAGGTAGTGTCAGATATAAGCACTGATGTAAGATGGTTGCTGCAGGGATGGAACAAATCAGGGTTGCTAAACATTTTTTTTTTATTGAAAGCAGATCTGCAAAATGGAAGAAGAAATTGCAGCACTTGTCATTGACAATGGTTCTGGAATGTGCAAAGCAGGCTTTGCTGGAGATGATGCTCCTCGGGCTGTGTTTCCTTCAATTGTTGGACGCCCTCGCCACCAGGTAAGATACCAAAATAATGAAGATATTAAGTTTATTGAAAGCTGGAGCTTGCCTTCTCTTTATAACGTGCTAATTTGTCTCTCCTTTTTTCAGGGTGTCATGGTTGGTATGGGACAGAAAGACAGCTATGTGGGAGATGAGGCCCAAAGCAAGAGAGGTATCCTGACCCTGAAGTATCCCATTGAACATGGAATTGTCACCAACTGGGATGATATGGAGAAAATTTGGCATCATACTTTCTACAATGAGCTTCGTGTTGCCCCTGAAGAACACCCAGTACTGCTTACAGAAGCTCCTTTGAACCCTAAGGCCAACAGAGAGAAAATGACACAGGTACAGCATTGGTGCATCTTTTGCATGTATGATTTCCATCCATTCCATCGTTTCTTTCAAGATTACAACTTCTCTTTTTTGGTTATTTTCAGGGTTCTGTACTCTTCTGGCATTTCCTTCCTTCAAGTCTCTCAGGTTTCAGTTGTATTTCTGCTTGCTTTCTTTTGGTTTCTCCTCACATCAAATACTTTGCATGTCAGCATGGGTGTGCATTAGTGAGCAAAACTTCATTATTTAATAATTGCTTTCTTTTGTTTTAGATCATGTTTGAGACATTCAACACTCCAGCCATGTATGTGGCCATCCAGGCTGTATTGTCCCTGTATGCTTCTGGTCGTACCACTGGTATTGTAATGGACTCTGGTGATGGTGTCACACACACTGTGCCCATCTATGAGGGTTATGCTCTCCCTCATGCCATCTTGCGACTTGATTTGGCTGGCCGTGACCTCACAGACTACCTCATGAAGATTCTGACAGAAAGAGGCTACAGCTTTACCACCACAGCTGAAAGGGAAATTGTGCGTGACATAAAGGAGAAGTTATGTTATGTTGCCTTGGACTTCGAGCAGGAGATGGCTACTGCTGCTTCCTCTTCCTCCTTGGAAAAGAGCTATGAATTGCCTGATGGCCAGGTGATCACAATTGGAAATGAGAGATTTAGGTGTCCCGAAGCCCTTTTCCAGCCTTCTTTCTTAGGTAAGCTAATAGAAACAATCTCCAAAAGAAATGTATGGTTAATCACTAGAATAAATGAACAAATTGAGTTAAAGGTAGTATAAGTGCAATCATGGGTGTTTTCTTCTAGGTATGGAGTCCTGTGGCATTCATGAGACCACTTTCAATTCTATCATGAAGTGTGATGTGGATATCAGAAAGGACCTATATGCCAACACAGTATTGTCTGGTGGTACCACCATGTATCCTGGAATTGCAGACAGAATGCAGAAGGAGATCACAGCGCTGGCTCCCAGCACAATGAAGATCAAGGTGAGGTTAACAAGCATTGTAATGGCTAGGGCAGGTTCTTGGTGATATTTTTTTCTAAAACTTCACAGCTTTTTTTTTTAAATGCAGAAAACTGGTGAAATTCCCTTTTAACTCATCTATCTTCTATTCCAGATTATTGCTCCTCCTGAGCGCAAATACTCTGTCTGGATTGGTGGATCCATTCTTGCATCTCTCTCTACCTTCCAGCAGATGTGGATCAGCAAGCAAGAATATGATGAGTCTGGCCCATCTATTGTCCACCGTAAATGCTTCTAAAAGGACTATGGCAAATGTGCAGTTTTTACTGCATTTAAGTTTTTTCACCAGTATAAATTTGCCTGGGCAAATATATACGCCTCATGCTAGCCTCATGAAACTGGAATAAGCCTTCTCTTCAAACATTTGTCATTGGGAAGTTGTCTCCAATAACCTTGTGAGGATAGCTTCCTGTTGCTGATAAAACCCTGAACTAAAGTTCCCTTTGTACATAGCAGTATAACTACCCTATACACATCTGGCCTAGGACACAGTACAGATAGTGTTGACGAACATAAGGTTTAACTGTCTGGGATAGTCTCAGTGTAACCAGTTATGTTGCAATGGAGTCTGAGCCTAGATTTGTACAGGGTAGCAAAAGACCAGACTTCACTACACAAAGCGCTAAGAATTCCAGGTCTATCGCTGAGGCTGGCAAGAGCTTGTGAAAAGGATGGCCATTTTTGTCTTGCCACTGTTCCTAACAGGATTGGAAGTGTATTGTGTCCAAGCCTTATGAACCTGTTTTTCTTTCTTTGCCCACCTTTGTCCCACTGGGCAAAACATTGTTCAACTTGAGTTGCTCCAATGTTGGCATTGACACCTGTAAATTTAATCATCAGGTTTAATTTATGTAAGATATTTGTACGTTGCCTTAATGTTGTCATATGACAGTAGAAAACCAAAATTTGTAAGTCATCCTGAAGTTGAGAATTGTAATGCCCAACACTTCATTGTGAAAGGAAAATAAAAGCGCTGCAGTAAATGAAATGTGTGCATTGTCTTAAGGGAGATTATTTACTGTACTTGTTTTCACTTAATTTAGTAAATTGCATGCAATGCTTTTGGTATTTGGTAAGTCACAAAATTTGCAACTAGCAATGTATCCATCACTGCTGCAATTAAATTTTGTTCCCATCACCTTTCCAGCATTACTTAGTTAAATACCACTAATCTATCTGAAATATACTAGCATATGGAGAACATGAAATGTAGGCAAAATAACAAAAAAGGGTGTTTCGTATATAAGGTGCTATCCCTCAAAAGCCTTGCAAAACATTTCAGATAATTTATTTAAATTGACTGGAAAGATTTTGAAAAGTCAGGCTAATGGTTGATGGCTCCTACCATTAGGGATCATCACTTTTTGCAAAAAGTTCTCTGTTTATTCACAATATCGTTTCAGTGCTAAGGTGAATGAAGAGTTTCATCCATAAAAAATTGGATTACTTGGAGAAGCTGATTGCTCCATGCTATTAAATGCTTCACTGATCAAAGAAGTTGATACAGACTTCCAGAACATAGATAACTAATTTCATTCATGTTTTCTCAGATTATTAGTTCCATAATTGTAACATTTTTCAGAGGTCAAATGTATCAATTGGATTAGGGTAAGAATTCTTATTCTGGACAATTGAATATTGTGTGAAACTTCAATAGCTAAAAGTAAATTAGCTTTATTGGAGTCACCTGCAACATAAGTGCCAGATCATTGGCTTCACAACACTTCAATTTCAAAACTTTTTTTGTCTTAAAATAGTTATGTAAATAAGTAAAATCAATTGGATTTTGTAGATCCCCAGTGATCTAAAGCTAAATTTACAGGATACATAATTCCAGCTTTGAGAAATTAGCTCCATATAAATCACTTAATTTGCTTTAAAAGGAAGACATATTCAAATA